CCGTGTGTGTGTGTGTGTGTGTGTGTGTGTGTGTGTGTGTGTGTGTGTGTGTGTGTGTGTTCAGGGGGGGGGGGGGGGGGGGGGGGGGGGGGGAGGTGGGGCGGGGGAGTGAGAGTGGAGGTAGAAGTTCAGGTGCAGCTGTAGTGAGCAGGATGCTACGAACGCGTCAGTCATCTCCAGCAGAAGTTTCCTCAACTATCCATAAGAAGGTACAGCTGCTACAGCTACGTCGGGGGAGGGGGGGGTTCAGAGCTTCGGACTCATTCAGGGGAGTTTCAACCTCAGTGCGTTACTGAAACAAGACTAATGGATGTACTTCTCCCACTGCTCCCTCCCTGCAGCAGATCATCTCCCCTCTTCCTCTCCTCCTTTACTGCAGCTATAAATCGTCTCTTATCTCTGATGTCTTCCTCTTTTCCTCTCGTCGGCAGCTTCTGCGTCCAAGTCTCTCCTCAAAACATGTCCACTCCTCATCACAGGCTCTCTAACAACTGTATATCTAACAATAGTAGGACACACACTTTGCCCGACTCAGTGGTTGGGTTTGGGTTAATGTTAGCACGACTAATTTCAACACCTCGTATGCCTACGTGACCTAGAACTACTGTTACATTTAAAGATGTAATGTGATTGGTCACTAATCAGAATCAACTGTGATTAATTGAGATGAATCTAAATTTGACAAAAATCTTTTTTTTTTCTGCACCTTTCTGGAACAGACAAATAACGGTGACAAGTCTAGTTGGTGGATTTGTAGAACACATTCAGACAAATAAAAACCTTGAGCGAAGCACTTGTCCTCAACAATTTTAATCAGTCTACAGTCCCCCGCAATTTATTCGGCATTTGTGTCAGTCAGCTTGTCAGCTGTAGACTTAGTCACTGCCCTGCGCTCAGTGAGGCTGGTCTGATGCAAGTCGGACGTCTGACCTGAAGTTGAAGCCTCCAGAAATGCATGCTGGGTTGATGGTACTGGTATTTTATAAGGTATTTTAGGCTCAGGTGGCTCAAAAGAAAAACTTTTTCCCCACAGTGTGTGTAAATGACAACCAAGGTATTAACAATGAACAGTGGAATTATCGCATAAACAGTTTGCATCCTTTTACCCAAGCATTAAAATTCTTCACTAATAAATCCGATTCATAGAAGACTTTGAAAACCGTGTTGACAGAGAGCGGCTCAGGTGTCATCTCTCATGTGACAGTAAGCTGGGTTTCATTGTCAGTTTCATTCGGTCCCTCATACAGTAAGTGCGGGCTGTTGTCGGGTCTGGAGGCTTCAGTTGTGAGTCACTTCCCTTCAACACCCACTGAACATATCATATTAAAATGTTACACGGTCGATGGCCGGCTGTTATTACTAAGTTGCTGCAGCGCAGCTGAGAATATCAAAAATGAATCATAGCTTGAAATAACTCACAAAAATGTTGCCAATCAGATAGGACTGTACTTCACAGAAAACTTCACAGGAATGACGAAGCGAGTGTGGACAGGCGTCGTTCCATAGATGAATTAGTTCATCCCATATTTTTAGACAACATACATCTGTGTCGTTACACTGCAGCACGTACTGTCTTTATAAATAACTCTGAGGATTTGTGAATATGAACATAACTTCACAGCCAACACTATTCTAAAAGTGTGAACAGAGCTTAGACGTTTGAAGCAAAATTAAACACAGCAATTCCATGTATTTTTGTCTTTCAGTGATTTGGAAATATCATGGCAAACAAAGTGCAACATGACAGGTTACCAAGGAGACGCCACCTGTATGTCATATGTCTGTTTCAGTGTGATGTAAGGCTCAGTGCTAACAACACAACACAACAGAGATGTTGTGTTTGTGAGTTTAACAAAAGTTTACTTTTGGACAAAGTCAGTATGGACAGTATGATGTCCAACGTCTACCAGCAGTATTATCACCGCAGAGAAGAAGAAGCAGTAACTGTGGGGAGAGTTAGCACGTACTTCAAAACTTAAAAATAAAGAGAGTGGCTGGTACTATGATTCAACAAACTAACCCAACTTAGGTGGGACATGTAAATGTTGCTTTGCACCTTTTTTTAATTTTTCTTTGTACTTCTGGCTGTTTGGTAACATTAATCCCATTTAGTTATACACAAAATTCTGTGTGAACCGAAAAACCAAAATCTGTCTGGTGCACAAAAATAAAAATGCATCAGTGCAGGATTCCTTTTACATGTTCTCTCTTATTTGAATACTGAACAGGGTTTAATTGGCGTCATTTTAAGTCCATTTGGAGCTAATTAATGGAAATTTCATGTGGCAGAGTCAGGTTCCTCCCCGCCCCGCTCTTTCTCCTCCACATCCTTCCATCACATCCACATTCAGTCACTGGCGATTATAAACGGCGAACACGCCGGTGGCCAGCTGCA